GAGAAAAAGTAAGAGAACAACATAGGCAAGGATGGATGGACACTCTATATCTACAGGACAATAGCCCTACTCCTAACATTTACAATGGAGGACTGCGTAACATATGTGCAAATAGTATAATTTAAAACCAAGGAAACAACATTTTGGCAGTTTCTCAAAATGTTCAACACACAATTACCATATGATCCAGCAATTCCACTCATAAATATATACCCAAAAGAATTAAAAGCAGGGACTCAAACAGATATTTATATACTAATATTCATAATATTCAGAGCAGCATTGTTCACAATAGTGAAAAGGTGGAAATAGCTTGTGTCCACCCACGGATGAATGGATAAACATAATGTGGGATATACATACAATGGAACATTACTCAGCCAGAAAAGGAATGAAGGTCTGATATACATTATAACCTGGATGAACATTAAACACACTAAGTGAAAGAAGCCAAGCAGAAAGGGAAAAAATATTGTATGATTTCAGTTACTTGAGATACTTAGAATAGGAAAATTTTTGAAGGCTTAAATAATGGAAATCACCAGTACTGGGAGATTAGGGAGAATATTTAATTTGGGATGATAAAAAAATTCTGAAAATATAGTGGATGTCACTGAACATTGTGAAAATAGTGGATGTCACTGAACTACACACTTAAAAACAAAGTGGTAAATTTTATATACATTTCTATTTCATCATACAAAAATATAAATTATTTTTTAAAAAATAACTTGTTAAATAAGTTATATCCTACTTTTTTATCTTGATCAATAGAACTTTCTATGTAATTCAAATTTAAGTTTCATGGACTTTTCTGTCCTGCTCCTGAAATATGGTGCTATCTTCCCCAACACACACACACACACACAGTCCCACTATAAGCAATTTTCTGCTCTTTTTACCATGGCCCCACCCACACATTGTGTGGCCCTGTGATCATGTATAAGCAACTCAGAAGCATGATCAAGCTGTATCTTTAACCTCTCTGCACATACTGGTGACTGTGGTCTGACCTCAAAAACAGAAATCCATGCAAGAGACCAATTTGTTCCCAGCAATGAGGTCCAGACTCTGAGCAGGAAATCCAGGAGTACTATGTAAAAGTCAGCACAAACTGATTATGCACATGGTCCCTTGGCCCATGGGATATTCAGACTCCTTCTTTGCTCAGTGGGGGAGGGTAGGATGATTGCCCATAGGAGGGTCAGAGCAAGGCCTCTGCAGTAGGGAGTCCAGCATCTGTCCCTCTCTGCTGTGACTGATTCAGAAGCTATTCATGTGGTCTCACCCATCTCACTGATGAGAGGGCCCTTCACCAGTTCAAAGAAAAAGATAAATGTCTAACCTACAGTTTACACAAGCAAGGTCTCTGGGCTCACACACTTGTGTCACCTCTTTTCTGTTTTAGGGAATAGAGGTGGTGCTAATCCGTGTAGAATTAACGCCTCCAGCCCTCTGCTACACACAACCTTTTGACTTCCAGGCTGGTTTGTTTAAACACTCTTTATGGATGCTGCCTGGTTAATTCTCAAATGCTGACAAACTTCTTGCGTAGGCAGCCAGCCCAGAAACTCTGCCTTGAGGTCCCAGAGTGGATTGCTGACTTTGTTTAAAAGCTGCCACATGGTCTTACTTTGCAACCCCCTTTCTCTACTTAAAACTCATCTGCCAGTAGTTAAAAAAGTCCTAATCATGTGACTTTTTAAAAATGTGATGGCGATTTAGAAGAAATAAAGTATCGTAGTCTTGTCTCCTCATGAAAACAGGAAGCAGAAGTGATTCATCATGACATAGCCATTTTGGATGTCCACTCCTCCTCTTCCCTTAATTCTCAATTTATATTTATTTTTTCATGTTTTATTTATTTTATTTTTTTATTGTTCAAAATATTACAGATATTTCTTTTTCTCCCCATTGACCCCTTCTACCTTGACCCCTCCCCCTCCCCAGGACTTCACCACACCATTGTCTGTGTCCTTGGGTTGTGCATACATGCATATAAATTCTTTGATTTATCTCCCCACACACACTCACCCACCCCTCTGCTTTCCTCTGAGATTCTTCAGTCTGATCCATGCTTCCATGTCACTGAATCTATTCTGTTCATCAGTTTATTAAGTTCTTTAGATTCCACATATAAGTGAGATCATGTGATATTTTTGTCTTTCTCTGCCTGGCTTATTTCACTTAGCATAATATTCCCCAGGTCCATCCATACTGTCCCAAAGGGTAAGAGATCCTTCTTCTTTACAGCTGTGTAGTATTCCATGGTGTAAATGTCCCACAGCTTTTTTATCCACTCATCTACTGATGGGCACTTGGGCTGTTTCCAGATCTTAGCTATTGTAAACTGTGCTGCTATGAACATNTGTGCATACATGCATATAAATTCTTTGATTTATCTCCCCACACACACTCACCCACCCCTCTGCTTTCCTCTGAGATTCTTCAGTCTGATCCATGCTTCCATGTCACTGAATCTATTCTGTTCATCAGTTTATTAAGTTCTTTAGATTCCACATATAAGTGAGATCATGTGATATTTTTGTCTTTCTCTGCCTGGCTTATTTCACTTAGCATAATATTCCCCAGGTCCATCCATACTGTCCCAAAGGGTAAGAGATCCTTCTTCTTTACAGCTGTGTAGTATTCCATGGTGTAAATGTCCCACAGCTTTTTTATCCACTCACCTACTGATGGGCACTTGGGCTGCTTCCAGATCTTAGTTATTATAAATTGCTCTGCTCTGAACATGGGGGTGCATATGTTCTTTCTGATTAGTGTTTCAGGATTCTTAGGATATATTCCTAGAAGTCGGATCACTGGGTCAAAAAGTACATGCCTGTAGCATCTGTCATTTCTATGGTAGGTCTACTGGAACTGAGACGAGAATTTAGCTATGTTGTTTGGATATCTTCTATGGATTTTGCAAGCATATCTATTCTTCCTGTTGTAAATGTGTTTGGTTATTTTAATATTTAGAAGATCTAAGAACGCTGTCCTTAGGACCACATATTCAAGCTACACACATTTTCTTTGGTTTTCCTATTAAGCTAAATTGCCCCTACTTTTTCTTTTACTGGTCAACTAGATAGTCACATTTCAATATTAAGCAATGGATTTTATTTCTGTGGTATCTCATTCATTCATTCACTTGTATGTATCCATAGGAATCATTAAATTAAATCAACACTACAGAAGTAATTGTTGCAGGCAAAAGCATTTATGCTAAAATTAGTGGGCAAATGTGTGATGAAAAACAAGAATTTCCATAGCTTCAAAATATCTCCCCAGAAAAAGTTATAAACTACAAAGATTCAATAGTTGGGCTTTCGTTATCACATGGGATCAGGAGGTACATGAAATGTGAACCTGGCAGACATCACTAAAACCAAGTAACCCAAGTTTACATTTCATGTACCCCCTGATGCCACGTGACAAGAAAAGCATAATATCACCTCTGTAGTGTTTTTGCAAAAAGTGCATAACCTTAGTCTAACTATGTGAAAATAGACAAACTCAAATTAAAGGTCATTTTACAAAATAACTGACCATGAATCTTGAAAAAATTATAGATTACTAAAGACAAGAAAGGAGTGAGGATCTGTCATAGGTTGAAGACAGCAGAGGAGATATGAGGAATAAATGCATCATGGAAACTGGAGCGAAAAAAGGACATTGGTGGTAACACTGGAAAATTTTTAATAAGATCTATAAACTAGGTATTAGTATTATTAATTAAAAGCTAGTAACAATATTATTAATATCTTATATTACTATATTTTACATTACATATTCTACATTATGTATTATTTTGTTATATTACTATTAATGCCATTATATAACTAATAAATAATAGCTCTATGAATTATTAGTAATAGTTAATAGAGTAGTTATAGTCACAATAGCAATTAACTTATAGCAAATGCTAATTTCCTGATTTTAGTAATTACTATACTATTGTTATAAATGATAACATCAAATGAACCTAGGAAGCAAGTATAAGGGAAGTCTGTACTATTTTTACAACTTTTCTATAAGTCTAAATTGATTTCAAGGTAAAAAGCTTTAAAAAAATCAGGGCATATTTAGCACGTGTTTTCTGCCCCTCGCTCTTCTCCCGTCTGCCTGGACTCAGGTTCACTGCTGAGGGTGGACGAGGGGTAAGGTAACAAGGACAAGACAAGGATGACCGTGCAGAAACAGGCAGGTGCTTCATCACTCTCACACTGCTGACCTGTCTCCAACTTCTTGTCATGTAGGCAAAAAACAACACGTATTTCATCAAGCCACTGAAAAAGTAAGGTGAATAATTCTGATTTTCAACTGTCCTTCAGTCTTTGGCAACTGGAACTTTTCATTAAAAAGTGATTTCTCTATGGCTACACAGTCTGAGCACTGTGTACTAGAACCATCAGGATTTGCAGGTTTCTTTCTCTGGAAGAGCTTGCCTTGTACTGATGTCTGCCCAACCTGAAGGTCACTAAATGGCTGTCTTCAACATATATTAATTCCATGACACAGCAGTACTGACTGTGCATTGATACTGTTATCATATCTCACATTTATGTAGCAGTTGACATTTTACAAAATATGCCACATGCACCATCTTACGTAATAGCTTCAAAAATTATTTGAAGTAGATATTGTTCTTTTCATTTAGAAAATAAACTGATATTCAGGGAGGTTGAATTACTCAAGATCAGACAGCTCCTGTGGTGGTTTATGAAAATATACCCACAAATTCTTTGTCACTCCTCACTTCAAATGATGGGGCCTATTTCTTTGGCCTTGGACCGTGAGTTCACCTTAGTGACTTGCTTCCAGGGAATGGAATATGCAGAAATGATGATATGAGACTTCTAAGACTAGGTCATAAAAGGCATTGTGATTTTCTTCTTGTTCTTTGTTTCTTGGATCATTCATTGGGGGGAAAACCAGCTCTCAAGGGTGAAGACAGTCAAGTACCCAGTGAAGAATGGATTCCTCCTACCAATTACCTTGTGAATGAATGAGATATCCAGGGAGCTGATTCTCTAACCCAGTTAAACCTTCAGATGACTGCAGCCCTGGCTGCCAGCTGGACTGTAGCCTCATGAAAATCTTCAAGCCAGTGCCACCCAGCGAAGCCATGACCAAATCTTGTACCTTAGAAGCTATGAGAGATGACACATATTTATTGTTGTTTTAAGGCACTAAGTTTTGGCATAGCTTGCTCTGTAGCAATAGATAATATAGTGTCTAGTAGCAAAGGCTGGAATTAAACCCAGCTCTTATGATCTCAGATCTAGAATTTTCTTTGGGACCCCACAGTTGCCTTCTTCTCGCAAAACTATAAGCCAGCCCATTACTTTGCTGTAAATATGAATAATCCAGATATAAATTACCCTTGTAACCATTGCTCTGGGTAATAAGAAGCATTTGACATTTTGCAGATGTTCCCTATCACTGCTCCAGAGCGCTGGTCCCCAGCACAACATAACATTTCATGGTTAATAGGAGAAGAGGTGAAGACATTTTCTTATGCAATGGAATCTATGAAATATTCACAGAATAAATCATGGCAGTGTCTTAGGATATGCTTTATTTATATAGTGTATGAAGGAAAAAACTCCATCCCTCATAGGATTTATAACTGCAATCTTTTCATCACTTTAGAATAGGTAACTAAATTAGAGGAGCTCTAGTTAGCTACTCTATTGCTGTAAAATTGTTAGATTTTATATTATTTGTGCTTGTCTATTGATTTCTTTGCAGGTCTAAAAACAAAATAACTAGGATTGAATAAAATAGCTGTGAATACAATAGGAGAAATCATGCACACATAAATATTATGAGGGGTAGGGCAAATTTTATTATAGTTATTAAATTACCAAATTGTATTGCTTAATTGNATTGAATAAAGTAGCTGTGAATACAATAGGAGAAATCATGCACACATAAATATTATGAGGGGTAGGGCAAATTTTATTATAGTTATTAAATTACCAAATTATATTGCTTAATTGTAACGTAGACCCCCAATACACACACACACACACACACACACACACACACACACACACACACTCATTCTTGTGCCACATGCTCATGCATTGATGTTCCTTCTCTCCCAAGTGCTAAAATGGATGGAAAGTCAGCAAAATGCTCAGAACAACCTTTAATGAAACTTCAAAGGGAGACTGGTGCATGACCTACAGGCTTTAAATATCTGCACATGTGTTCTCATGTTGAAGTCAGTCATTCTTACTGTCCCATGGCACATGTGACTAAGGACAGTCTACGTGACAACACATGTTTCAGTAATGCTGCTTGCATGCAAATGGGCTTTCCTTTTCAACAGAATTTGATGTTTCAGGCCAAATGGAAGGAAAATACCAATGAATAGCAGGAAGAGCAGCGGCCTGACACTATCTCATCCTCTCAGTGCTGTTTTTTGTCCCCCTTATGTGATCTCAACTAATGTTCTAATCCCTTTAGTATGAGTATGTGCACGCTTGAGTGTGCTCAGTCCAATGTGGCTAACAACCAACTTCTATTTTTTCTCAAATATATCTTCCATTGGTTCCCTGCTGTGTTTCCATTCTAAAAGCAGAAACAGCTCAGAGTATGACAGGAAGTGTTTTGCTGGTGTTCAAAGAACTTCATACAGGGTTTCATAGAAGAGACCAAAAAAAAAAAAAAAAAAAAAAAAAAAAAAAAGGGGGA